TGTATTTGTATTTGTAAAAGTGTGTTTTTGATATTTTCTGCTGTTAAGCAACGTCATTGTGGGACGTATATTTGTTTTAAATAGGCAGCAGTGCACTGAAAGTAAGCGATTATGAAGTACATGTAAATACTAATTGTAAGAATTTGTCAATATCATATTAGACTTTCTGATAATAGCGTTGGTCACTTAGTTATTATTTGATATACTATAACAAGTATTTATTTTAGTATAATAAGTATATAAATAAAAAGTTTATAAGAATATGACCTGATCTATATGCCAGAGAAGAGAATTCATTCGTGCTGAATAATTCTGCATTTGTCCACCCCATGGATGCTTGTGGTACCATTTATTCTACGATTTATTTTTATTTCTAGCATATTATAGTCGAGACCCTGAGTCGGACTGTTTTGCAACTCGCCTTAACTTTTCTTTATGAACGCACCAGTTACAAGTACAAGATGTAAGTTTAAGAATGAATTACCATAAAACATGCTTAAGCAGCTTAAAGTACAACTCTTGTTTTTTCATTGAGCGACATTCTTACTGTGATACGGTGTCAATACATTAAACCATCCCTACAATTTAGTCCGGGACCATACAATAGACTTGCCACCTTAGCGAAGAGATACTGATCTTTATAGGTGTACAACTACATTTGTATGAGAGGTTTACTGGCCCATCATCATTTCCAACACAAATAATACCAAATTTATTGCTTGGCTCTCATCTTTTAGAAACTATTCAAATATTGTTAGAAAAAGTAACGAATACTTACAAATTTGTTGATGACGTGTCAGATACTGTGAAATTTGGGTCAAGAAACCATAAAACTGATAGTAATCTCTGATATTCACTCTTAAATGCAAATTTTACAGTTTTACATTCAAATAAAATGTTAAAATATTCTAATAATCTGTTGTGATGAATGTAATATATGATATTTTGATGATCCTTTGAAAATACAGAAATAAAATACAGTATCGGCGATATATGTATTTTCCATATAATATGAGAAATTACATAATTCAAAATTTTAGTGAATTAATATTGTTGAATTATTAACAGTCTGAGGTTTTAAAGTTTTGAAACGTAGATAGTTTTATAGATTTTATACGATACGAGACACAAAAATTTTATTTTAAGAAACTAAAACGAGATCTTCACATAGAGGTTTGAGAATTTTGAGACAAATCCAACATATACACCAGTTTTAGAACTTCAGAACTTTTAGAAAAACATAGAAACATTTGAGAATTTTAGATGAGAACAGAGAAACATAGATGATGTTTATAGAAATTAAAAGGAAGAGAATTTGAGACAAATTCGCAAAACATGGCAAAGAAACATATATAGTAGTTTGAAAATTAAAGAATAGAATTTAAGTTAAGGTCTGAGAAATATATATGGTTTTTATAGCATTGAGACGAGGTCATCATTGCAACCATAGCTAGGTTGTAATGGTTTGAACATTTGTTGTGATCCGAAAATCATAGGTTATAGTTGTCTTAGAATTGTAAAATAGATCGGAGAAACATAGGTTTTAGTTTGAGAATTTAATGATAGATCTGAGAAACATATATAATAGTTTGAAAATTTACTGTGAGATCCGAGAATTTGAGCCAACTCCGAGAATCATGGAAAGATTTTAGGAATTTAAGAACATTGTAGTTTGAAAAATTGCTTTGAGATCGGAGAAACATAGACAGTTGGTTAAAAAATTAAGAATAGATCGGAGAAATGTAGACAGTAGTTTGGAATTTTAGAATAGATCAGAGAAACATAGACAATAGTTTGAGAATTTAAGAATAGATCGGAGAAACATAAACAAAAGTTTTAAAATTTTAGAATAGATCGGAGAAACATAAACAAAAGTTTTAAAATTTTAGAATAGATCAGAGAAACATAGACAATAATTTGAGAATTTAAGAATAGATCGGAGAAACATAAACAATAGTTTTAAAATTTTAGAATAGATCGGAGAAACATAAACAAAAGTTTTAAAATTTTAGAATAGATCGGAGAAACATAAAAAGTAGTTTGAGAATTTAAGAATAGATCGGAGAAACATTAACAGTAGTTTTAGAATTTTAGAATAGATCGGAGAAACATAGACAGTAGTTTGAGAATTTAAGAATAGATCGGAGAAACATAAACAGTAGTTTGAGAATTTAAGAATAGATCGGAGAAACATAAACAGTAGTTTGAGAATTTAAGGAGTGATCGGAGAAACATAAACAGTAGTTTTAAAATTTTAGAATAGATCGGAGAAACAAAGACAGTATATAGTTTGAAAATTTTACAGTAGTTTGGGAATTTTAGATTAGATCCAAAAATCATATCTGGTAGTTTTAGAACTTTAAACAAGGTCTGAGAAACATAGACAGTAGTTTGAAAATTTAAGTATAGATCTGAGATTCATATATAGCAGTTTTAGAATTTTAGTTAAGGTCTGAGAAATATATATGGTTTTTATAGCATTGAGACGAGGTCATCATTGCAACCATAGCTAGGTTGTAATGGTTTGAACATTTGTTGTGATCCGAAAATCATAGGTTATAGTTGCTTTAGAATTTAAAATAGATCGGAGAAAAATAGGTTTTAGTTTGAGAAATTAATGTTAGATCCGATAAACATATATACATGTAATAGTTTAAAAATTTGCTGTGAGAATTTATGAATAGATCGGAGAAACATAGACAGTATAGTTTGAATTTTTCTAGTAAATCGGACAAACTTAGACAGTAGTTTGAGAATGTAAGAATAGATCGGAGAAACATAGACAGTAGTTGGAGAATTTTAGAACAGATAGGAGAAACATTGACAGTATATAGTTTGAAACTTTTCTAATAAATTGGAGAAACATCGACAGTAGTTTTAAAATTTAAGAATAGATCGGAGAAACATAAACAGTATTTTGAGAATTTTAGAATAGATCGGAGAAACATAGACAGTAGTTTGAGAATTGTAGAATAGATTGGAGAAACATAGACTGTAGATTCCGAATTTAAGTATAGATCGGAGAAACATAGACAGTGATTTGAGAATTGTAGAATATATTGGAGAAACATAGACTGTAGATTGAGAATTTAAGAATAGAGATCGGAGAAACATAGACAGTAGTTTGAGAATTTAAGAATAGAGATCGGAGAAACATAGACAGTAGTTTGAGAATTTAAGAATAGAGATCGGAGAAACATAAACAGTAGTTTGAGAATTTTAGAATAGATCGGAGAAACATAAACAGTAGTTTGAGAATTTAAGAATAGAAATCGGATAAACATAGACAGTAGTTTGAGAATTTTAGTATAGATCGGAGAAACATAAACAGTAGTTTGAGAATTTAAGAATAGATCGGAGAAACATAAACAGTAGTTTGAGAATTTTAGAATAGATCGGAGAAACATAAACAGTAGTTTGAGAATTTAAGAATAGAGATCGGAGAAACATAAACAGTAGTTTGAGAATTTGATAATAGATCCTAGAATTTGAGACAAATCGGAGAAACATACAAACAGTATTAGAATTTAAGTCGGGAACATGAGATGGATGTGGATAGAGCACGGATGTATGAGAATTTTTTTATGAGAATTTGTTATTGGGATATAGATCTAAAACAGAGAAGTGTTTGAGAAGATCGAGAAACTGAAATAAATAATATATAAGTTGAGTACTATAGAGGAAAATTAAGAAAGTTTGAGCATTTGAGAAAAAGTTACTAGGCAAATAGAATAAAATAAGTATGCGCCGATATACTCGTTATGTTTTAATTCATCTATAAACTGAATGATCTGAATCTTATGGTAATAAAAAAATTTTTTTAGTTTAAAGCAAACAAAGTTCATAAAATATTTGTCCATGCATTTCTTGACATCAGTGGAAAAAAAGGATGATGTAAACAAGATTTGATAAAATTTGTGTACAGAAGGAGACATGATTTAATTGATGATAATAAATATAATGAATGATTATGATTATTTTTAAATATATAAATCGTTAGATAACGAAAAACATTGAATAAAAATGATATAAAGTAAACGAATAATTTAACAATTAAATAAAGTTTACAAATTGTAAGTGAATGTTACTTGCAAGAATACAATGTTGAAAAATTGTCAGAATATATGAACAATGTTTATATAAAATCTCAGAATAC